AAGTAAATACAGGTAATGCAAATAATAAATTACCTCTAATAAAAATTATAAAAGATGTGTCTTCAAAGAGAAAGCGGCTTTAACTTACAACTGTGAATTGCTTAAAGAGAAAAGAATTAATAAATGCTGAATTACTCTGATGATTATTTAGCACATAATTCACCTACTCATAACGACTCCTAGTAATCAGACTGTTGTTTCACATTCTCCAATATGAGGCAAGACTGTTTCCTCAGCAATTTTACCCTTATCAGATTATCTCGTCTGATTCTATTAATTTTCTTCCATGAATCTGCTAACAGTGATTTGTGATTTACTTACCCTGCTAACTAAAGACTGTTAAAAGGATTTATCTAACACCAGACCTAAGAACACTCTATGTCTTATCATTCAGTTACTCTGAGCAACTCTTTCCTCAAATCAATCTAGTTGCCTTTGTAGTGAAATTCAGTGGACACTGGTTAGTTCTGCACCATAAAATCAGCTCCTGGATAAACAAAGAGTTCAGATACCATATTTGATGCATCTTATTCTTTTTAGATCATATATGTCTGATTCCAATGTGATATACCTAAGTTGCTGTAACTCACAATCAAGAAAAATATGGTATTTTTAGCTTCTCATCATTATCATTTGGACAGGAACAAGTTTTTTTTCTTTCTTTCTTTCTTTTTGCGTGAAGTTCTTCTGTAGGTACTGACATGAAACTACAATTGTGTTTTTGATGTTATGGTTTCGCAATCTTCTATGGGATTCGACCCATACCCTCCCCCTTCCACATTCTTCTATAAATATTCACTGCTTTCAGAAACTTTAATACTACTGGTTTGAATTGGTCAATAATGACAAACGCATGGTTTCTAAATTACTCTATATTGTTCTACAGAGATTACTAGAGTATATATAGCAAGGGGATATTAAGCAGTAAGAAAACACAGTTCGCATTGTATTTGGATTAGACTGGCTTGGAAGAAGTGAAACAATGTTCGCAAAGAAGTCTAAAGAAATGTGGCCTTGCTATAATTGTAGAGAATCAAAAATCTGAATAGTACTAATTAAAATGAGAGAGCGCAATTGTTACAAAAGAAATGCCGCTAACAGAGAACTGTAAATGTTTAGACACCCCTGTGAATCACTAAATAATAAAGCAAAAAGGACAAACACAAGAATTAAGTTATAAGAGCACTACTGCTACACATCTAAAAAATAATTCTAATCCTCTTTTTTTTTTTTCAAGAGAAAATGGGAGACTGTAAAAGACTGCAATAAGAGAAAGAAAAATACCATGGCTTGACAGCAGTGTACAAAAATAAACCATAAAAAATGTGCAGATAATAATACATTTAGCTGCCCAAACATGGGCATTTAATTTCTAGAAATGATATATAATTGCAACAATTAGGTAGATGGCCATGAATCTGTATCCCATGGTCTTCATCATTAGCAAAACTTTGTTTATAAATGTTATTTATTTATAAATGTAGCAGTTTCAGTGTTCCTGGCCAAAAATACTTTCAAGAGAGGCAGGGATCCTATCTTACAGCTTTTAACAAAAAATGAGATGCAAAGGATAAAAAAAAAATTTATTATAAACAAAAAATGAATTAATTCTTCCTAAATATACATATATTCATATTTTACATGAAAATTATAAACTTCAGATTTTTGTGGCTAATGATTAAAAAGCCCCAGAAAACTATCACTGTGGACAATGCTAAGTGACATAATATGTTTATGTAAGTTAAGCAGATTTTCCTCTGAATACAGAAACTATAATCTCTTAACTTCATTACTAGGTAAAATACTGTTTGAGAGGAGGAAAGCAAAGGAGTTCTGTTAGATTGCATAAATATTGACACAATCTTCACTCTTTCTTCCCAACTAGTAATAGACATATTTCATTCCAGCCCTACAAAGTGCTCCCATAAAACCAAAACTATCCTTATAAGCAGCTTCTCTGCAGCAATAATGAAAAGGAAAAAGTACTTTTCTGGAAAATACCAATGGCACTGGCCTTTTAGGGTTTTGATGTGCCTACAAACTTTTGGGGGAGCCTTTCATTAGGGACTCTGGGTTTGAAGGCTGCCAGCAGCAGAGAAATTAACACAAGTCTAATCTAAGAGAAATTAACACAAGTAAGAAGCCAATGAGTGACACCTAAGGTCTCATTATAAATAGTAAAGTATGCTGTGGGGTGGGTGAGAGCAGTTATGAAGTGCAATGTTCAAGCAGCTGGCTTAATATATGACTAAGTGTCAGAAGTCAGGTTTTCTGAGAATTACTTTTCAGATAAACAACTTTATAGCACTGCACTTAATCATACTTACTAGAGACATCTCATTTATCATCGAATTACAAGTAACTTTAATCCTATTGATATTGCCATAAAGCCCGTTGAAAATCCATCCCGACACTTTTAAGGGGTTTAGGGCCCTGTTACAGGGGATTCAATTGCAAAAGTCTCTCATCAGAACCAGACTGCGAAGGCTTCTGTGTCTCCTCGCCTTTTTTGTTAACGATCAAGGGGGACAGTAGGGAAAAAGGGTTCCTGCACCTGCCAGCACTGTCCTTAGCACCTTTCCTACAAGGTTGTGTTCTCCCACTGCCTTCAAACTAACTCTCTGTGCCTCGGTACCCCCTCCCACCTTGGGAAACCAGCTTCTTTTCACTTCATCAACAAAACTGGACACGGATCAATTTCAACTGACCTTTGCCGAAAGGTGGCGCTGTTGAGGTAAAAATCCAACAATAGTTCTCACTCGGATTCTTTTGCAGGCTTTTCAGATTTTTTTTTTTTAAGTGCGCCCTCCTAGCGTCTCCCCCTCCCATAAAGTAAAATAAATATGATTAACACCAAATGCATTTCATTAATTGGAGGAATCAACAGCCTCAATATCCAAGTAGGCGGTCTGGTCTTCCAAACGCTGGGTCGGCTTGGCTCACGCTTGCTTTCCCCCAAATAAATCTCGGTTTCTCCGAATTCTGCCTATCGCTTTAAAATCTTAGAAACAGTTGTTGGTTCTTTCTTTTCTCTTTTCTGTTTCTTTCTTTCCTTTTTCTTTTTTGCATAAGCTTTAAAAGAATCCGTCTAGAAAACTGAATAGTTATTAGCATTTGCAACGGGGAGGGGGAGAAACAGCCCCCCCCCCACCCCCACTGTGGGTTTCCGGGCTGGTCCGAGAAACCGCGGTTTAAAACTTAACCCTTCGAGGGGAGCTGGCGAAGGCTGGGGTGTTTCCCCCCAACACATACACCCCTTGCTCCTCTCCACGGCCAAGTCTGAAATACTTAATTGAAATGTGAAAGTGCAAAGCGCGCGCGGGACCGTCCCTGATAAACAGGGGTCAGATTTCATAAGGGGGTGGGTGTGCGTGAGAGAGAGAGAGGAGAGAGAGAGAGAAGAGAGAGAGAGGAATATGAATATGAATCTCAAAGGCCAAACTCGGGCCAGTGTCGGAAGCCAGAGGGCTGAGCTGGGCTGACCCGGCTCCGAGCTTCCCTGGAGTTTACTCGCGTAGGCGTTCGCTCTCCCCACGCCGCCCTCCCAAGGGCACGCGACGCCAGCCGGCAGCCAGTCCCCGCGCGTAATGGTCCCTGAACAACTTATTTTCCCTCCTTCAAGGAGGGCAGTAAAACGGGCTTTCTCCCCGCGCGGATCCGGAGCCACTCGGGCTGCCCCCGGCGAGGCGGCGTCCTGGGCACACTCGGAACCCTAAGCCCCCCCACCCACCCCCCGCGCCCCTGCGCCCCTGCGCGCGGGCTCCAGGGAGAGGGACAAAGAGTTTGCGCTCTTTGGCTCAAAGGGCCAAGTTTGAGCTCCCCGCGGCTACGCACGGGGAAGGCAGGCCCCCCCGGGTAGACGCCTTGGTGCCAAAGCTGGAGCGAGGAGAAGCAGCTCCGGAGCGAATTCACAGTCCCGGGGATGGGGGCTGCCCGGGAAGGGGAGTCACGCCAAACCCGGCAGAGCGAGTGGAGGGCAAGCCCGCGCTCTGGAAGGCAGGCCTCTCTCGTGCTCCTAAGTAAAGCAATCGCCCTCCCCGTCCTCCCGGGTTCCCGCAGTCCTTCTGGACTACTCCTTCCCCTCTCGAACCAAACTTTGCGCCGGGCTTTGCTCCCTTCCGGGAGGCTGCGGCGCGGGAAGGGTTAAGCCATCTTGTCCCAGCTGACAGTCAGCTGATTGGACCCTGATTGACAGCTCCGAAAAGTTTCCTTGTTTCTATCTATTATGCTAATCGCGGCCGCTCTCGTCGCCTCCCATTGGCTCGGAGTACCAGTCAATTTCCCATTTGGGCCTGACGTCACAAGTGCTATAAAACTCAGCAATTGCTTTAAACTCTTCTTGCTGGATCAGAGGCTTTAAAATCTTTTTTCATCTTCGAGCTGTAGCTCGGGCTGCTCTTCGGCTCGGCCTCCCCCCTTTTGCTCTCTGCCTCGCTTTTCCCCAGGACTTCGCTATTTCGCTTTAAAAAAAAAAAGGCAAGAAAGAACTAAACTCCCCCCTCCCTTTCCTCCAGTCGGGGTGCACCTCTGTCTTGCACTTTGCACGGAGAGAGCGCGCGAGGGAGAGAGAGAGGAAAGAAAAAAAAATAATAATAAGAGCAGGCAGAAGAGAAGGCGAGAAGCATGAAGTGTTAACTCCCCCGTGCCAAGGCCCGCGCCGCCGGACAGCCGCCCGCCGCGCCTCCAGCCCCGAGCGGCCGCCGCGCGCGCCCCGCCTGCAGCCCGGGCCGGCGAGGCGAGCCCTCCTTATGCAAAGCGCGCAGCTGAGCGGCGAGCGGGGGACGCCGCGCACCCGGCCGGGCTCCTCCAGCTTCGCCGCCGCCGCCGCCGCCGCCGCCGCCGCCGCCACCGCAGCCCGCGGAGGACCTTCCCGAGCCTGAAGCCGCCGGCTCGGCACGCACGGAGGCGAGCAGGCGAGGAGGGGCCGGGGCGAGCGAGCGAGCACATTGGCGTGAGCAGGGGGGAGGGAGGGCGGGCGCGGGGGGCGCGGGCAGGGCGGGGGGTGTGTGCGCGCTCGGAGGTTTCGGGCCAGCCACCGCCGCGCGAGCTAGAAGCGCCCCAGCCCGGCAAGCTGGCTCACCCGCTGGCCACCCAGCACAGCCCGCTGGCCCCTCTCCTGCAGCCCATCTGGCGGAGCGGCGGCGGCGGCGGCGGCGGCAGGAGAATGGCATCAGAACTGGCAATGAGCAACTCCGACCTGCCCACCAGTCCCCTGGCCATGGAATATGTTAATGACTTCGATCTGATGAAGTTTGAAGTGAAAAAGGAACCGGTGGAGACCGACCGCATCATCAGCCAGTGCGGCCGTCTCATCGCCGGGGGCTCGCTGTCCTCCACCCCCATGAGCACGCCGTGCAGCTCGGTGCCCCCTTCCCCCAGCTTCTCGGCGCCCAGCCCGGGCTCGGGCAGCGAGCAGAAGGCGCACCTGGAAGACTACTACTGGATGACCGGCTACCCGCAGCAGCTGAACCCGGAGGCGCTGGGCTTCAGCCCCGAGGACGCGGTCGAGGCGCTCATCAGCAACAGCCACCAGCTCCAGGGCGGCTTCGATGGCTACGCGCGCGGGGCGCAGCAGCTGGCCTCGGCGGCTGGGGCCGGCGCCGGCGCCTCCCTGGGCGGCAGCGGCGAGGAGATGGGCCCCGCCGCCGCCGTGGTGTCCGCCGTGATCGCCGCGGCCGCCGCGCAGAGCGGCGCGGGCCCGCACTACCACCACCACCACCACCACCACGCCGCCGGCCACCACCACCACCCGACGGCCGGCGCGCCCGGCGCCGCGGGCAGCGCGTCAGCCTCGGCGGGTGGCGCGGGCGGCGCGGGCGGCGGTGGCCCGGCCAGCGCCGGGGGCGGCGGCCCTCTGCGCGGCGGCCGCGGCG